TTTAAAATAAAAATTATTAAAGGGCCATAACTCTGACAAAAATCATTGAACCGGAAAATGCTGACAATATGCACAACTAGACTTGGTACTAATCATTCCTGTAAAGTTTGGATGAAATTGCACAAGTAGTTTTTGAGGAGTAGTCCGGACAAGCTTTTGTGTATCTGGCAACACACAGAAAAAAACACCTTTTTGTCAAAGGGCCATAACTCGGCCAAAAATCATTCAACCGGAAAACCCGTGCAATATGCGCAAGGACTTGAGCTATAGATCAATCCTGTAAAGTTTCATTGAAATTGCATTAGTGGTATAAGAGAAGTAGTCCGGACAAACTTTAAAATTAAAAATTATTTAAGGGCCATAACTCTGACAAAAATCACTGAACCGGAAAATGCTGACAATATGCACAACTAGACTTGGTACTGATCATTCCTGTAAAGTTTGGATGAAATTGCACTAGTAGTTTATGAGCAGTAGTCCGGACAAGTTTTGTGACGGACGGACTGACAGACGGACAGACAGACAGACGACGGAGAAGTGATCCCTATATGTCGCCACTACTCCGTAGAGGCGACACAAAAATCAACAACCTGCAATGACAAAAATTAATTGTAATACTGCACGTGTATAAATATAAAGTGTGAAAAATAAACAATGGTAAAATCGCACGTAGACACAAGATATTGTACAAATACAAAAGGGTCAAAAGTTTTCAACCGTCAAACTATAATAGTTTTATTTAACAAAAAAAATCAAGCTTAGGGTGAGCTTAAATCATACAAACATGATATTTATTCAAACAAAAAGAACAAGTAAAGTAACTTTTTTTCTAATATTTTATTCATGACGGATACATAAAGAACAATTCCCATCTACAAAAGCCGATAACAGTACATGGTAATGTAATTATACAATTTCGGTAGTTGACATATTCCGATAAAGACATAGGGAAAAGCTTAATTTTCTGATTTTTTTAAATCTAGGGTATCGTTATGAACCACAGAAATAAAGTTCCCGCAGAAAAAAAGTACTTATACGGTATCAAATGCCAACTTAGGTATAGCACTATAACCACCTTATCTCAGTTTCTATATAAGCAATAATTAGCCTTATGTTAGCCATTAACACTTTCAAACAAAAATAAAATAATACCTGCTTCCTTTCCACAAGGTTATGTGTAAACTTGTGGCACAAATCTGCATCTGTAATAGAAAGCGAATTTACATACATTATTACTATATGGATTATACTTTAAGACATAGCAGGAACTATAAAAAGAACTTGTAATATATAGATTATGATAATATTTACCTTCCTTGCCAAAAGTGGCAAACTTGTAATATATCGATTTTAATAATATTTACCTTCCTTGCCAAAAGTGGCAGTCATTTTTGGGGTCAATATTTTGATAATTGACAAAATATGAAAACAACTCAATAATTGACCTAAATTGTCAATTCTTTTATATATACACAGCAAATATTATTATAGCATCAATATGTAAAATTTTATGAAGACAATAGAATTATGAGACATTTTTATCTTAAGGTTATGATAAATTGGGAATGACCCACAAAATGGCACCAGGGGAGGTAATAATTGCTATATATGTGAAAAACATGTATAGCAATGTTTTCATTATAAAGAACAAGAATTCAGCTATTAAATCCCAGTGCCTCAACTTTCTTTCTATCACAATATGATCTTATCTAGCCACATTTTCAAAATGATTAACTTGTCCTCATAAAAATAGACAGTTTGTACACATATCCATTGAAGCCATTACCTTTATACAAGTGACTGTGTATCAATCAAAATGGAAAGGTCGTTGTCTTTATTTTGAGACTTTTAAATTTCACCAAAATAGTTAAGAAAGTGATGTTATCATTAAGTTGTCTAAAATGCACTTACAACTGCAAACCTGGAACAAAATTTTAGATCCATTATCCAATGCAAAATGTTATAATTTCATTTTAAGTGTTATTGCCATTATGAATAAGAAAGGGTCACACTTACAACTGTCTGTGGCATAGCGAACATGTTCTCCATTACATGACAATATAAACTCTTGTGTTTGTACAAATAATGTCTCAAAATCAGGAACATTTGGCATGCTGTATTTTACACACCTGAAACATAAATTATTATACACTTAATTACAAGGAAACTTGATAATTCTTTTGTGTAAAAGTAAAACCTGATTTGCTATACAACTTAACAAGGGATTGGTTTGAAATATTTATGACATCACATCACATTATATCAGATAAATGGAATAAATCAAAGAGACAAAGTATCATAAGCTGCTAAAAAAATTAGGACATTTTCTCATGTAATATGCAATAAAGCATGTATATAACTTTCACTGTCTAATATCTTCATTAGGGAAGAACAAGTAAGAATCACAGCTCCTCCATTAAATACCACACATCCTTTCATTTAAAACATGTAAAATACATTATATTCTTTCATCCAATGACATTAAATATAAATAAGATAAAACTAATAACTTACAATATGCCAAGCACACCTAATGAATGTTGTTGAATATCTAGAGTGGCGAGTACATTGTCTAGGTGGCTGACATTCTTACTTAATGTTTCTGCACTTTTGCTGATGAAATCACATAGTTGTGAGAAATTTCCTGTAATCAAAGTCATTAGATAATATCTCTTATTATACTCTAACACAGAATGCAATATTACAAATATAAACATATAGTCATCCAGCAAAATAATATTAGTGGAGTCACAGATGGGGCATGGGATTGGCTTGCCCAGCTAGATAATAAGATTGTATGTGAATACAAGTGTATATTTAAAAGGAACAGAAGTCAAAATAAACTATACATCAAATACATAGATCTTATTCTATATACCATTAAAAATATTCCAGTGTCATTTACCATTTATGGGCATCACTATTTTGAATAAAATCACAAAGTCACGCAATATTTTATATTGTTCCATATCTATCAGTAAAAGTAAATCAAGCATTTTGTATTTTATTGGATTTCTAAAACTAGAAATGTGTCTATAGTAGACAGGTGCCCCCATACTCCACTGTTTTGTCAGTTTACTGGCTCTAGGCCAAACATTTTTTGGGCTTCCACACAAGTTGAAAACTGAAACTACAGGTCAAATACTTTTTGAGCTATGCATGAACAAGTTGAAAATTAAATACTAAAATTTATACTAAGTGAAGGGCAATAAATCTATCCAAACTGTTAAACATCCACATGCAAAACCCCAGGTGCACAGCTTCACAGTGATGTAAATCATCATTCCTGTAAAGTTGGTTGATTCTAACTCTGGCACTAAGGTACACATAACAAAACATTTAAGAATGTTTTTTTTACTAAGTCAAGGGCAATTACACTACAAATACTGAATAAATCCACAATCAAACCCCCAGGTGCACAACTACATAAATTATGCTGACCACCATTTCTGTAAAGTTTCATGACAAGGGCAATAACTCTGACAAAGTAGAATTAATCCACAAGCAAAACACCAGGTACATAACTTCACATGCTGATCAACATTTCTGTAAAGTTTCATATTCATGGTCAAATAATTTTTGAGATATACACAACACAATTTGAAATTGCAAACTTTTAATAAGTCAAGTGCAATAACGCAACAAATACTGATTAAATCCAAACGCAAACACCCAGGTGCACAACTACACATGCTGGTCAACATTCTTGTAAAGTTTTATAACTCTAGGTCAAATACTTTTTGAGCTTTAATTTTGATGCACAAAGTGGTAATAATTTACCTCCATGCAATTTCCACGGGTTAGCCAAGACATGAATTTTTAGCCAAAAGTGAGTCAATGTAAGGCAGTCAATGAGAACCTAAATGTACAGAAACCCGAGACAATACTGAAAGAGGGTAAAGCCCTTAAAAGGGCTGTTGGTGCCTCACAATCTGTCATTCGTATTAGTGGCACACACACCCTAGTACCCCATCCTCGTTGACTCTGCCTAATTTGTAGGGCCGGCCACTCCCCTCGGCTTTAGTCAAGACACCGGCAGTTAACTTCATGCAATTTGTGCCTTAAATGTAACTCTGGGCTGTAGAAAACATGTGAACTTGCCGTCTTACATGTAGCATTGGTTATTCAATGATCTGCCTATGCCCTGTGTCTTCTCAACGACTATGACGTACACATACCAAGGGGAAGAGAGAAGAGACTGTCTGAATGCAATTTTGAGCTCTATTTTTACCCATAAAATAGATATATTTTTAAAGATTGTTTATTGAACATGATGAATCAAGCATCCAAGAGATATTGATATTGTTCGAAATAATGGAATTTGAAAGATTTTGAGAACAAACAAATGCAAATAGTAAAAAAAAACATGTATGTCCATTAAAAGCCTTTATATATTAAATAATGGTTTTAAATGAATTGTAAAATGTAATCAATTCTTAATAATGTATTGTTTATTTAATTATAAAAGATTACTATAAATTGTATTTGTTTAAACCCAAATTACATATATATGTATATTTCAATTTGTTTACAATTCAATTATCAGCAATAAAACTTTAAAGTAAAGAACCACTAAATGTTATAATTAAATTGTCACAAAATCATTAAATGTTTCACAAGACTTAATCAAGGTTGCTGGTGCAGTTGTCACTTAAAGACAACTGAATTAATTAGCATGTCATTAAAAACTATATATACCCTGTATAAAAAAGTAATGTAAACATTGTAAAAGTAGCATTCTTTCAAAATACATTTAATTACTTCAAGTCAAAAGGCTGATTAACGATGCGCTAATGCGTAACCAAGCAAACGCTTCCCTGTCTCTAGGCAGCCATTTTAACTGACATTATGCTTAAGCTGCCTAACTTGCCTGACTTTTTGCTGACAGACAAGTACATTTTTACATAGCGGTTGTCTGCGGACAAGTGAATTTCTGACTCAGAAAAAAAAGCAAAATGCCAAAACTCTAACTGTACTTGACCATGAACGTTAATTTTTCCCAATGTTTTTTTATCCGTGTTTACTATGTGTAAATTTTATTTGTATACCATCTCCAAAAAGCACAAATAAATTGATACTATTTTACCCCGTATAAGGCCTCTTGCTTCTATTGGCAATCTCGCTTGGCAATTGGTCGTATGGAGGAAACCGAGCTATGCCTGAGTAAATAATAACATGTATTTGTTGTTGTGTTGTAAATTATTTGATACAAAATTGACACATTTTTCGTATATGACCACAAAGGCATTCGTGTTTAAAGAAAGCTGGTTAACCGCTTTTATTTGGCTCCAAAAAGACGATAATTTGTACAAATTTTATTGTCATATTTGCAGAATGTTCCTGGAAACCGCGAATACATCATCATTTATAAGAATGGACACTCAGTACAAGTTTTAGCAAAACCCCAGTAAACAAGGACCCATTGGTTAAATAAAGCCATTGTAATAAACCTTTTTAGTGTTTATTTGAACAACTGAACTCGAGCTGCGCACAAGTAGAAATTTCTGTCCAACTTGTCCGTCGGCAAGTGAAAAAAATCCAAAATTCCACACCGCTGTTGAGTTGACAATATTTGATGTGACAATTTGGTTTATCTTTCCTGCGAACAGATTTCTACACAGGATTTTTGCTACCTAGACGTGACCATCCATACATGTGCAGTGTTTGCATATAAGGACTGTTGATGGTTCAACAAATGCACATAAACAACTTAAGCAATTTTTAACAACTTTTAAACTAATTCACACAATAATTTAGTTGTCTTGGGGTAATTTTGGAGTAGGCTTGGAGCGTCTTGGGGTAATTAGACTGACCTGTCAATGTGTATATGGTATTTTGCAGGCTTTACCATAATAGCGAGCTCGACGAGCTGGGCCTGCTCGCAAAGCGAGCTTTACGGTAATGTGAGTACCTCACTAACAAAGTTCTATGCTCCTGCGTTTATGAATAAATTATGCAAATGAGCCAGGTTGAGCTGCCATGTTGGAGTTTCTGTAAGTGTGTTGGAAATCGCTACCTGTTCGTTTTGAAAACTCGTTCAAACTTACAGTTTCCTTGAATGTAGATAAACTTGGTTTTGTTTGATTGCATTTTGAATGATAGGTATTACAAAATAAATATAATGAAAATCGATCAATAAATAATTGTATACCAGCGTTATAAAGTCAATTTAATTCGTCAGATTAATAAGGTTCTGTTGCGGGGTATCGGTAAAAGACTGCTTTTTTTCCCCGTTTTTGAAATTTATTTGAACACGGAGACAATTTTTCTCAAACAGGTTTATGAATATACTTTACGTTGCAACCGAGTTTACCGTGTGTCCATTCCTTATTTAAATTGTCTGAGAAGTTAAATCTGTTTGTTTACATGTAAATGTGTACCGTCATTTTGACTGACTGGAATAAAAACTACCATGACGGTGATAATACCGGATATGTAATGAAAATTAAGCCGTGTAGTGCAAAGTTTTGGACATTGCAATTAAAATTAACACTTACGTTGTTCCTTGTCAGCAAAATTGAAACCAAAAGTAGTGGTTGTTCTAAAATTTAATCGAATAAAATGGGTGGGATTTAACCACCGCGCATGCCCTGTGCGAACGTATTGTTTACATCCGGTCGTAGCATAGGGTAAGAGTGCAAACTTTGTTAGGTGTTGGTTTTGAAAACTTCCGTCCGAAGTACCAAATTGATACATCGCAACTTTTCGAATTACAATATAACGATCAAAGCTGATGTACTCTGATTGAAAACGGAAGCATAGACTGGTGTCCTGCACACTTATATGGGAACCATAATAGAAAGGAGGAACCAGAATAAACGGAAGCAGTGTATAAAATACCGAATGACAATTTTAAAACGGAAAGTGTAAAATAAAAATTAACGATTATTTAAAACTATTTTATGGAAAAAGAAAATCGAGCTCGCTTTGAGGCTTTGCCTTTTTCATATTATGTGGAAAGTCCGAGGGCTGTAGCGCTCTTAGATAACATGTATGACGCGTATCAATTCAAATAAAAACAAATAAAAAGTAAATGAAAATTTCAAAAAAATATATATCCTATACCTAATGAGCTGTGAAAAAATCCTTAGTTAACTGGGCGCCGCCATTTTGAAATCCTTTTGAGCTAAATATAGATATCAGGGCGCTTTTAATGAGCGTCTAAATAATTCAGACTATTTCAGACTAACACTTCCGGTGAAAGAATGATGTACAAAATCAGAAAATAAACATGCATTTCATTGATAAGAACTATAGTAACGATTATAAATATAAAAAGTTACTTTAACATATCCTTTTTGATAAATTAGCACATTAAAAAATAACGTTAAAACAACAACTGTGATTAGAGATTAACAAAAATGGCGGACGGGATTTTCCAAACGCCGACGCATGCGCAGTGGTCCCCCTTTACGTTCGGAGATTTTCGGAATATTCCGAGCGCTCCGATGATAGGTTGAACACCACCAATTTATTTGTTTTGTTTACGGTACAAAATACCTGCAAGAAAGATCTGGTTTACATGTACACTAAACATGTTATGCTAAAATCATAATTCATAAGAGCTTTCCGCGCCATAGGTAGCACCTAATTTCATATTATGTCTTTACCTTTTTTCAGTGCAGAATTTTATCAGGGGGGAAAAGTAGGGCTTTCATTGATGGATCATTTTGCGAAATTCAATGACAGCCAGGTTAGGAAAAAGACCTAGTCAAAATATATTGACGTGCCAAAGCTTGATTCTGAGATATTTTCGTTCTGGGGCAGAATCTCGCTTTAACGTCAAAACCAAAAGGAGACCTTTCTGTGGTGAAACGTGGATTTCGATGTAAATGTGAAAATGCAGACAATTTAAACTAAGAATTTACTCAACAATACAATTTTAAGGAATTAACAGCACAAAAAGTGCCAGACTATCAACTTAGAATAAAGTAAACCACGTTAGTTTCATTTCACCGTCTCATTTGTGCAACAACGCCGCCATATTGTGATGTTGCTACAGTAATGTAACATGTACGCTAAAAATCGATATTGTTCGGTACCGTGCGTGAATGTTGTCAATTTTTTTTGCGTGGCTAAAAAAATATGTAAAACTATTAAAAAGTGGAAATTTTTCTTAAATGATGTTATTATTAATTATATTTATTGCTACAATAAAATAAATCACCAGGAAATTATCTTTAAATATTTTTGTTTTTCATGATAGAAATCTTTAAAATGATGAGGGGGAACTTTTAATTTAGTCCTCTTTTTTATAAATATGTTTATTAAAGGTTAAGGATAAACAAAATACTGTATTTCATTAAAATGTATATTGTCATCACTCTGTAGTATTATCTATGTTAGTATAATTATGTTAGTCACAACTTGCTGTGTATTAAAAACAGCAAATCCTTGCCTATAGGAAAGTTTTGTTTTTCAAACGTGCATTACGCTATGAAAGAATTCAAATGGTAAATTCTTGCGTTAATTTTTCATTCCTCAACTGTTTTCAGAAAAATAAAACTCGTTACTCCGAGCACCCATTTTTCGTTTGTCTGTATCTGAAAGAACCTGTGTACATGTACCATTTATCCGTGTAATAAAAGACTGTTATCATAGCATGCCGTAATGGCCTGGATATTTGGTGTTGTTTAAGCGATGTTCCAGAAAAGTTTTGCAGAAAAGTTTTGTCCCGGTATAGAAAATATATTCAACCTAATATTTATTTTTAAAATGTGTCAACTACATGTATTCCACAACGCCGACACCGGTACGCTGGCCAATATACACTTCGGAAATGTTGACACTATTAATAATTTATGCGCAGTCCTGTTTCTTCCTTACTTAATTTCTTTGTGTCAACTATAAATTTATTAAGTTTTAAATAAATAAATTAGATTTTTTAAATTCGAGCCGTGGTTCCTTTCCGGAATCAGTTAAAGTTATTTTTAGATCGTCTTAGTTACATGTATTTATTTTTCAATTTATAATTATAAATATACTTGATGATTTATTTCAAAGACGATAATTTTATGCTTAAATTTCTTTCTATAATACATTTATGAAAGTTGTTTAAACGGTGTTAAGAATTTAAATGTGTTACGGTCCCGAGTTTCCTCAGTACATTTTCCCGGCTTACCAATACGCTTTGAATTTACGCAAGATATGCCAACTTTTTAAGTTTTGAGTTGTGGCATTTAATTATTAGGAACTTTATTTCTGGTTTTCTTTCTAAATTAACTGGAAGGTTAAAATCTTAATTTTCGTTCTTTATCAAAAACTCAAAAATAAAATATAGAAAAAAGAACTGAGGAGGCGCCGTGATTTATTACCGATTTTATAAGTTCGTTTTCCAAAGCAACACCTTTTATATTTGGGCAGTAACAATCTGTATCATAGTATGTTTAAAATGAGTAATAGTGTTGAATAACCCTTAAATCTTATAAGATTGGACAAGAATCAAAGAAATCACAGACGCTTGGGGTGTGAAGCTCAAAACGCCTTTAAAAACCAAATAAAATGTATATGGAGCCACGTTTGAATTTGTCGAAAATATTGTAGATGGAGTAAAACGGCGATAATCTCGATTTTTATTTTGCCAGTTGCGTTGTTTATATTACTGTTGAAGTTTAAAATTGACCATCATCTTGAAGATTTATATCTTTTGTGTCGATGGACCAAAGGATTTTGTGAAAATATTGGAAACAGAATAAAATACATGGTGTTTTTGACGGCAGGTGTGCGGATTTTTTCCGGCGAACATTTTTATCTTGTGTAATATTATAGACGTTGAAATATTTTTTTTTTCAAAACGGCTTATATTTAGTTTTTTTATATATATATGATCAGTACATGTGCTGGTATTGACAAATATACATTTTATTTGGATTTTAAAGCTCCACACCAAAAGTGTCTGTGAAAGAAATTAGCGGCGCAGCGTTTTGTTTATGTAACAGTAAAATAACCACGTTGATTCTTCAAATCTCACCTCGCCATGCATGTATTTTATAAAAGAAAATAATTTCTTAGCATAAAAGTCAACTGTATGGGATAAATATTTACTGTATACCAACATTATGAAAGTCTTTTGCAAAACAAAACAAATCAAAGCACAGAAGGCGCTGAATTTGTTTGGGTCTCAGAATGTAAGAAAGGTGCAGGTTGTGAGATTATATGTTTAGTGCCACCAATGCTTTCCAGCGTTTTAATTGTAGTAAATTGGCTATAAGACTAATTGCAACACTGATATTCAATCCAATGTTTATTTGACTTTAACAATTTAAAAAAAATGAGTTACCTTTACTGGAATTTGAACTCCAGACCTCTCGCTTCCTAAGCGAGCCCGAAAACCCTTCAGCCACGGTTAAATTTATATGTAAACGGCCTGAAGAAAACCATATTATTCTAAATTAGGGCTTGTAACGACTTTTAACTGTTGTTTAACACAGATGTTAATAATCCTGAAGCTTACTATGAGCATGTATATTTATAAAGAATCAAAGGGCTTCAAGTTCTTTGGTATTTTCTGATCTTTGCAATCTAAATCGTACTGTATATCTGTATGCATTTTCCTGTATAAGTTTATTTTTATGTATTATAATTCATTTTGTAAGGCACATACGGAATTCTGCATAACTAGAGTTGCATCAAAAAATCATTTATGTACTTTTTTTACGACAGCCACACTTTATCCTTGTAAATCATGGCTACTTCCTTAACAAAAACAATTAAAAAAAAGAATTTAACAAAAAAAAAATTTCCTCGACTGGGATTCGAACTCGAGACCTCTCACTCACTAAGCGAGCGCGTTACCACTGTACCACGGAGAAGTTATACACAAAATGTCTGAATAATATCAAGTCATTCTAAATTTAGAACTTCCATTGCATTCAGGTTTGTAATCCTTATTAATTTCGAGGTATTTTGTTCAGGGTAAACCTGTTGTTTAAAATTGAAGTAAATATTTTAGCGAAAATCCTCTCGCCCAAACAGTCCGACATGTAGAATCTATATATTCCACTACTCGGTTTGTGTAGTATTCGGTAATCTACATGGCTAAAAATAGTATTTTCATTGATAAAATCATATTCATCCGCGTAATTTGTGATTGTGCATTTATTGACAATTCTATAAGCCAACGCTATTGTTTAACTTTAAATGCGTTGTATCCAACAAATTACATGTATAATGTCAAGGCACCGCGTTTGACGCTTATTCGTTTTATTATTGATAAAAATTATATTGAACATTGAAAGTATCGTTTAATAGTTAATCAACCTGATTATAAATAACAGACTGTTAAATTCCTTAGAATGGTGTTTTCTCGTAGTCGCAAAGGCGCGCAAGGAATCCGTACGTTGCTGTTTAAAAATATAAACCTCATGTTTCTGCTCTTATCATATCCCTATTTCCATCATAATCGTGGAAAAAAATTCTATAGATAACAATAGGTCCCATGTCTTATATTTACTTGGAAAGCTGACCAAAATATTTTTTTTTATAAACAAGAAACGGTTTAGTGAGTAGTCCATTTACAGAGTAGCTTTTCTATAAAAGATAATAATGATTTTGATATTTCTAAGAACGCTCTGACAATAACGAATGAGTTGTGCATCTGCTCCAATAAAATAATATTTTCATCCTATCATAATTATTAATTTTTGCATAAATAAATGTCTTTAATATAACATTAAACTTGATATTTTACCAAGAGTGTTTCGTCGTTTCTCAGTAACGCAGTACCGCATACACACCAGTGTAGTTATCAACAGTGTATTTGTCACGTGACATTAGCGGCGATGTCTTTATTTTGATGGTGCATGTGTTTACTTTTCTATCAAAATCTTTATGTTAGGAAGATTTTCACAAATAAAACATGAAATTGATGTAGAAATGAATAATCTTTAAAGGTATCGTAACAAATTTATTCAAATATGAATTCTAATACGATTTAACACGGTCCAAAGCTTGCGCTCAAAATCCCGGCGCAAATTTCACCCCAGAAAAGGTACTTTTTATGTTGTACGTAGAGGCGAGATATTGCCCAGACACGAAAATAGCACAATATCTCGTCGCGTAGTACAATTAGTTGGACTAGAAAAAGACCCACATCAAAATACCAACTAATCGCTTGTCAAAGTTTAACACATGTTGTGAAAGAAAGGGTACCATTTCTCAATTAATCGTGTTTACATGATTCACAGGTCTTTGATTTTTAAGAATGCAAATGTCAGAAATTCTATATGCAACTACAGATCCACAACACCATGAACACATCATTTAAGAAGAAAGAAGCAAAAATTCAGCGCAACCAAAACTTTCAATATTAAATCTGATTAAAACATTTTTCTAATTTGTATAAAGTACCTTGTGTAGACAGCGTCTGTACAGTATTTACATACTGTTCTAAAGCACTTGCCATTTTAACAGTGTTTTTAAGAATTTTTCAATATGCAGCTTATATCAAAGAATTATTTGGAACATGATTATTTTAAAACAAAAGTTATGATTCAATTATATAATATAAGATAAGAATGGCTGAAGTATTTTATTTATGTTAAAATACATTCAGTTTTAAATCTATTTAAATATTTCATATTTCATTTTAGCAATTTCAATGTTTTAAGCGATAAAGTTTTCTTTATATAAACCCAAAGTGAAATAATATAAAAGACGACTTCTCACTTCCCCTCGGAGCGTGCACGTCGCTGAGAAGGCACAGGGCATCGGCAGATGATGGAAGATTCATGCGGCGTTTCGTTAAGTTAGCTGCCGGTGTCCTGACTAATGCCGAGGGGAGTGGCCCTACAAAGTAGGCTGAGACGACGAGGATGGTGTACTAGGGTGCGTGAGCCCCTAGTACAGATAGACGGCTTGTAAGGCAGGCCTATAGCTGGCACCAACAGCCCTTTTCAGGGCTAAACACCTTTCCTATTGTCACAGGTTACTGTACATTTAGGTTCTCATTGACCGCCGTACAGTGACCTACATTTCGGCTCAAAATTCATATCTTTGGCTAATACTCCGTGGAAATTGCATGGAGGTAAATTATCACCATTTTGTGCTTCAAAATTAACTCTTTTAAGGACATGACTGGTGACATGTCCGGGGTCCGTACTCGACAGCGCAAGCTGCATTTTGTGCCCGAAAGGGCGGATGGACCATCATTAAGCTTTAACTACATACATACACATACATACATATAAAAGACGAGCCGTCCTGATCAATCTCCTGGATATTTGTCAGTTCAGTGTAAGATCGGAATATATTTCACCGAATGAGCACGAAAATGTACATTTCACGAGTGGCGCAGGGGTCCCGCTAAGAATAAGCGAACATCTAATAAGATTTTTAATGAATTTTAAAGTACTATTAAATGCTTAAAAGCAACTATGACAGCTATGGAAGTGATGTCAAAAATCCTTTATATTTTTGTGACCAATAAGATACTCATTTATACCCTTAAATTAAGGCGCGAAGTGATGGATTGCCTTATAGTTTTGTAAGCTTTGAGCATATAAATCGTAAGTTGAAAACAAGAGCTGTCAGACTCATACATGTAGGCACGGATTTATCCGTGATGTAGGAGACAGCGAAGCTCGAGTAATCAAATACTGGAACTGGACGCAGTAAGGAAGAGAGTTTACGGGAAGACAAAACTATGAAATGAAAATCAATATATATAAAATCTCTCTGTACCAGTATCAAGAGAACACTCAAATGTTCTATATTTTTGCACAATATATTATGCATATGACATTGTCAATTAATGTTAAAAAGAAATTTCTATGATTTAATGGAAAAGACAGCAATTCCAGAAGCCAATTCCTTTATAGTAACACAAATGATAAGAGCAAAGAGAATTTGAAGTTTTTAAAGTAAAATTATAAATTCAAAGAGGAATTCATAGCTCTTAAAAAAGATGCTAGAGTTATATGAATCGTTGTCATGCATGATGTGAGTAATGACTAAGAACAATTCTACAGTAGATACCATTTATAATAACAAAGATAATACTAAAAAAATCAATTTACAAATAAATTCTAAGTTCAAAAATGATTTAGAGATAATTCTGGGAATACAGGAGCTAGCGTTTTATAACGCTTTTCCATATCATAAGAAGTTAAAGTAAAAAACATTTGTTAATATAAATTCTAAGTTCAAGGGAAAATAATTCTGGAAATAGTCACGCTAGAGTTATGAACCATGTCACACAGAATATGTGTAATTATGGGAAATATATATTCTAAGTTTGAAGTAAATACATTAAAACTAAAGTATTTATAATATTTCTTAAAGAAAATTTTAAGTTTAAGGGGAGATAAATCTGAAAATATCGCTTCAAGAGTTATAAACTTTGTCACATAAATGTGGCTGATGATAAAGAATATGAATTTGAAGTCTGAAGTAGTTACCTTTAAAACTAAAGAAGTTATAGTAAAAAATAACATAATTCAAGTAAAATGTCTAAGTTCATGGGGAGATAATTCTTGCAATATTGGTGCTAGAGTTATGAACCTTGTTACATAAGATGTGGTTAATGATAAGGAACATATATTTGAAGTAGGAAGTTGATTTAATTTATTAAGAAGTAACCGTAAAAATAATAATTTTTAAGGAAAATTCTAGTTTCAAGGGGAGATAAATCTGAAAATATCGGTGCTAGAGTTACGAAACTTGTCACACAAGATGTTGTTAATGATAAGGAACATATATTTGAATTATGAAGTTGATCCCTTGAGAAATAAAAAAGTAAAAGGAAAGTTCAAGGGGAGATAAGTACGTGTCACATATAAGATGTGGTTAATGCATTCGGAACTGCCTCGGCTATCATCTATAATAACCTCTTGAAAGTAGTTCTACCACGTGGTTTCAGATGTAAACAGAAACGTAGATAATGTAAAACGAATGTATATATTTGACATCTAATGTCTGTTTTCCGGCACTCTTTTGCTGGAAAATATGTCTAACAACAATTTGTAATTTAAATATGCCCACTGATGTTCAATTTTAAACAAATCCGACTAAATGTCAACAGGTTGGTTTTTTGTACTTTCGATTTCTACAGCCATAATAATAAATATACAAGAAAAGCATTGATGCAAAGCATCAAAGGGCGTTCCAAGCAAGATGAACTAGTACACATATGATGACAAGATATTCTTATAAACTACCAGAAATGTAATATCACTTATGAATGAGCGGACGAAAGAATT